TGGTGGTTTTAGAGTGATGGTTTGGAGAGCTGTTTGGGTTGGTGGGAGATAGAGCTTAGTGGAGTGCGTTGGCAACATAAATTTTGCGAAATACTGGAGGAAGGACTCTTGGCACTTTATTCCTCGGGTTTCGTGGACAAGAACACAACGTTGTTCCAGGAAGATGGAGCACCGTGTCACACTGCTAGAAACACCAAAAGTGGCAGGAAGGGCTCGGCCAGGGCAACTTCTGGATATCATTTTAATCTCCTGACATGAACCCCATCGAAAACCTCTAGACCATACTCGACCGGCAAGTCAAGAAACAACCAACAACCAACTTCGAAGAGCGATCTACTCCAAGTTTTGAAGCAAGATTGGGCGAAAATCCCACAATCTAAAATTGACGAGATGATTCTCACTATGCCCCAAAGGATCAACGAACTCCACGAAGCGAAAGAAAGATCTACTAGATATTAATTAAATTATAAATATATCAATTCATGTGAATATGATTGAAAAATTTCATTTTTAATGAAAAGGTGGTGTCTATTTACTTTTGACCACGCTGTCTACAAGGCGTTCAGAGAGTATTTTGTCTCTCATCGTCTACCCCAACTCACGAGTTCTGGTATTAAACGAAGTCCTCTTGGACAGTGACTAATGGGAGACAAAAGATATATCTGAAATGCTATTTTTACACATCTCTGATGTTGAATCCGCAATGGTCAAATTACTTGAAACCCGTAAAAGAAATCTGCAGTTACTGTCATTTTTATCACAACTTTTAGACTTACAAGTACAATGTCATATTACAATGATTTTTTCTTTGCATTAAAGATTTGTATGCTTTATGTTGTTTATAACATGTAATTTATAAAGTTGCATATTTTATGTATACTTGAATTAATTCTATACATTGTAACTATTAAAGCATTACTCTGCCATCTAGGCTTAGTACTGTTGCCTTATTGCTTTATTGTTTGATTATTCTCTAATTGTCACTCATGGCATTACTATTATGCGTTTCTTGCTTCATCTATCTTTTTCGAAAATGTACATACGTTATTCTAAAACATTGCGATTACCGATAAACATTATTTTCTCGAATCATTATAATAAATTAATTTTCTTTCATTTTGTGTTTTAACTTCTTGTTTTACCAGCACTTATTATTCTAAATACCAAGTTTTATTATATTAAGCCTAAATTTAACTTAGCCTACTAAATGTTATTCATACCTTTATTATATTATTAAAAACATACCAAAAAGGTTATTGCATTGTTGAATTTTACACAAATTTCTTATTTTGATTGTACATTTATTTAAAAAACAACAATACATACCTTAATATAATTGATCTGTTAGCCATATAGACACACTGATTAACATTATTTTTCTTCATTCTTTATCAATTTTTAAAGTATTAGCGTGCCACCTATATTTTGCTTCCACGCCATCGTCTACGAAAATTACGTAAGTTTAACTATCTGTATATAATGCCTTCATATTTTATTTGCATATTGTCAATTTTGAAATATTTCATAAAATTCCAAAATTAATAACTTTAAAATGTAATTTCACTCCACTGTATTTTATAAAACTAATTCAGTGTCATGAAAACTCACACTGGTTGTGCGTGCACCACTAATACACATATCAGAATATTTAGATCTTTACTACAACTAGTTTTTACAGCACATCGATGAATATTTAATTTTCATGCACATACTTACAAAACCAAGGATTGGTATTAATCCATCTTTGCAACCAATTGTCACTCAGATGACATTATTCATTGAATATGTGAATTTGATAATCATTAAATGTTTTGATACGTAAACCAAAAAACGTCTCTGCTGTAAACAAGTACTCATTTAACCATTTGAAGTTCTCAAAATTATTGTGTCCAGGAAGTTGGTTAAACTCAAGTCTGATACATAAAATCGCTCTTCACTCACAAATATAAAAGTTATAATTTACAAATCAATTGTAAGTATAGGACGCTTCTTTATCAGTAGCAATTAAAATGTTTCATGTGAAATATTAACTACTTAACAGTGTCAGTACTTAATCCTCAAACTACTAACTTGTTTTTTATACATATTTCATCATAATGAGTAATCTTATGTTTTTGCAACATCAATGTAAAGAACTGACAAAAACAAACAAAACTTGGTGATACCTCTCATTTTCTATCTAAAATTATATTATCCCAACAGTAATTTGTAAGATTAATTGCAATGTTGATGGTATTTTTCTTTAATTTGTGTGTGACTAGTATTTTATAAGGAACCCTGTAACCAATAGTCATGAACCCATAAGCAATATGGTACATGGGTAGCTTAGAAAATGTGCTGTAAAAGCAGATGGATCCCATCAATAATTCTTGGGTTTAAAAAAATTAACCAAGTTAATTCCGAAAAGCTTGTCTTTTCTAATAGCTCTTAAGTCAACTAGTATTACATGGCAAAACATACTGAATAAAGTAATTTAACATTTTAAACTTTCTTATATTCTTATTCGCTCAATAGTTTTAAAATCAGTTAATATGGTATACACAATTGAAAATGTAACGCAACACTTTAAAATTCAGAATTTCCGAAAGTTTAGACTTTAATCGACGGCACTTTCATCAGTTGATTATTATTCTTTTGTATTTTTCAGACGTTTTTTCTTATGAGTGAACAAAAAAAAATTAGGACACGGAGCAAACACACGCAATATAAAACCTTACCAATCATTATTTTAGTTCGATTTGTTTTTAATTGAATTATTGTTTTCCATCCCTTTTTTACTTTCAATTACTTCAATATCCTAATCACTAGAGTAAGTAGCACTGTTGAGGTTGCGTGGATGCTGCGATATAGTTATTTCTTGAGACTTTTAGGAGAATGATAATAATGGTATAATCTAAGGTCAGATGACACGTTAACTTAAGGATAAACTGTGTCTTCTGAATAAATTTTATGACACATTTGTGGCTTCATAAAATACAACTAAATTTATATGTAACATATGTGCATATTATCTATTCTTTTATGCAGTTTTTAAAATTAATCAAAAATAAATAATCTGCCCAAACTAAAACTGTCTGCAGTTGAACACCATAATCAATCAATATTTGTTCTAATTCTCAAACACCTGTATCGTTTACACTGCAACTTGCTTCGTAATAAACGTAACGCTAACTAAATGGATTTCTTTAATTAAATGGTTGTAATTAGGGTTTAGTATTAACATACCAATGTGGATATCTTGGTGTTCTTGGTGTAGTGTAAGGAGGTGCACCAGGTCTTCCTAAAGCGTCGTCTTTCTCATGAATATAAATACAAGTAGCAGAACTGGCCGCACTAGACACTGGGGGTTCATAATAATCTGTTTTTAACGTCCTTTCGTCTATTTTATTATCTGCATTGTGCGCTTTAGCAGCAGATCGAATGTCTATGAAAGCCACAGTAGCGGCCACCGTTGGCGTGTCTTCATCCTTTTTGGCTAAAATCTTCACACTCTGGACTTTACCATACCTGAAAGAAAGATAAAGATAGAACACGACTCACTCATAAAAAGTGTTTTGTCATTTCCATTAAAACCTTAAATAACAGTTTGTAAGATCTGCTGAGGTGTCCGATAATGAAGTGTACCTAAAACACGAACATATTTCGTAAGTTTTCTTGTAATACAAATTAAACAGGAAAATCAGCACTTTTGATTAATTATTTGTTTAATAAATATAGTGAACGCAACTTTCATTTACATAAGTAGTTTTTGATAAGCTCGTTCTGACAAAGTTTTGATTTGCATTGTCGTCGTTCCGTGATACTGTTTCCAGAAACTGAAGATTCCTTTACATCAAAATTTCTCATCTATGAGGAACATTTAACTTAATTTACTTATTTTTTTCTGCTGTCCCTAATGAAGAATAAAAAGGAGTATCGTTACTCCTATGGACAGAATCTTGTTTATATTAAATAATCAATTATTCAACTATCCGGCGGCTCGTGAACATCATGATCACATACATTGTAAAAAAATCTGTTGTCAGCCTTCTTCTGAATCCGAACAGCTTTAAACGACCTTTATAAAACACCAGTGTAAAATTATGTTAACCAAAAAACTTAATAAACATGGTATCTGATTTGACATCACTGGAATTACTAAAACGACTATTTATATCAATACACAAGTCTCATTTACAATAGTTTTAATAATTTTCAACTAGATTTTCGTTTCACTGACAAGCACTGTCACTAATTTTTGTGACATCGATTTATGTGCTTTACAATTTTCGCGCAAACCTATACAAGGATTATCTGTGCATAACCATCCCTAACTTTGACCAGATATATTAGTGGAAGTTGTTTTATGAGTGAAAATAAAGAAGAATGTAATATGTCAACCATACTAAATCTGCTATATCCAATGCTGAATAGGCCTTTCGCCCATTACTAGGACTCATTAGGCCAGCTGAGTTACGGACAGACGTAGTAGTGGTCTAGACGTTATTTATATCATCAACTACTTGAACACCGTTTTGGTGTGAACTACATTAAGCTGGTGAAATGTAATAATTAACGATTATGTTTATAAATAAGTCATTACGTATCATTTAGTCAACAGCACCTACCACTAACTCTTATTTGACCGAAGATAGTAGGATTTTACTGTTATTCTTAATTCTTATAGCACATACACGGCCCCAAACTGTGGAAGGAGAGTATCTGAGGCAAGGAGACGCAAACCATGAACTCTCGGATTTATAGTCCGAGCATGCTAACTAGTAGACCACTTCCGGCCTTTGTCACATGCTGTAGTGTGGTGACTAACAGATATAAAAGCAACAAAACTAATGATAGTCTTTTTTCTGTGTACAGTTAAAAAAAATCGTTTAGTCAATTTATGTAATTTTCATCATAAACGTATTCAAAAGCCATTTCTATATTCGGGTATTAAAGGGTTATAACTCGTGTTTGTTTTCATTATCGTTAGTTAAGTAAATGGACAACCAGTTACCTAAACCGCAATATCATAAGTTTATTCGTCCACTACATGCTAGTATTGTTTGTAATTTTTGTCCAATCCGGAGCGATATCATCAGTGTGTATGTGTGTATATATATATATATATAATATCCCTGTACTGATAGAATTATCCTACATAATTCACAAGTACGGGATATAGTTGATAAAACTGTTGATGAGACATCAAAGAACATGGTAAGCTTACCACGAAATGGCGAGACAAGTTTTCTTATCAACAAAATGACAGAGTGGCAGAAGTCGAATGATGAAAGATATAAATTGGATTACCACAGGTTCACTATAACCCATCAGAACGTAAACACATAAAAAGGCCAATCAACATTAATCAGCTAAGCACTTTCAAAACATGGGCTAGGTGTTTACAACTCATTCCTTATGTGATAAATCAAAATAAATAAAAACTAGTACCCAACAGACAACGTTAAAGACACAAAAACACTTGTAAAAGGATCGCAATATAACACATAAAGCTATACCTACAAATAATATATATACTATTAATATTTTATGCATTTTTTACAGATTGTACTTGGTGTCGGATACCTCTTGTATTCATTATTTTAGTTATCCCACCATACTTCAGTAATGTTTTTATGTTAACAAGCTTTATGGAACTACTCTGTCTGTGAACCCACAAATACATATATACTTATGTTTGATATATTCTGAAATAATTAGTATTTTTAATTTATCAGAATCACTTAATATCCGACGGTTACAGTACGTTCCCAAGAATCAAGTTTGTAATATATAAGAAGAAATCGGTTACCAATAATAATAAAAAAAATTGTTAGATAGTAGTCAGTATAAATGTTTATAATTGGATATTCGCCAGTAATTATGCAGTATGAAAATAATTAATACGTTAATATGATATAGTTAACTGAAATGTAAGATAATAAAAACATGCGAGGAAACAAATGAAAAAAGTTATCTTAGTTAGCATACAGCATGTATTTTTAATGAGCATTTTTTTCTTTTTTCTGCGAAAGATTACTTCTCTCAATAACAATTTGCTAGCTGGTCACCACAGTTAATTACTCTTGAACATTGTAACATAAGTGAGTCAAAAACTATGGGACGAGGGTTGGAGCACTGAAAACGAATCTATTGATTCTAATACTTTTAGAACTATCTTTTATTATCACGACCTTTTATCTAAAGGCACCGCCCTGCGGTGTAATAACAATCATGTGTTACCCTGGAAACATGTACAGGTATCAGGCACAGGTCACAAGTTACCCTGGAAACATGTACGGGTATAAGACTATAAGGGTGCGCTGTTGCACACAAACATACATTCTTCACCTGCCACGAGACGCACGAAAATTACACGAATGACGGTTGTAATGAACAACTGCAGCACGTGAGTTGGCAAGGTGCCAAATTCTTTATTATCTCGATCTGTCACTAGTTGTTCAAGAATAGCAGGCAAGAAACAAGAAAATATTCATGCCAAAGATACACGAACATACGATTTAACATAGACATACAAATATTCGATGTAAAGTGAAAATCAACACCTGACACCTCTGTTAGTTATACCCTCGCCAGTTTTCTAATTGTAACTTATTATTGTAATATTGATGAAATACATTAACTACATACAGCATGATAAAACTTCTACTTTACCCTAGATATATATGGTGTAATTTTATATATTATTAGAATATGTCAAAGTGTGATGGTAAAATAATAATAATAAGCTTTTTAATTGTGATGAATTATTATAACGATACATTTTACACAGTGGAAATCTTTAAATGAGGCAGCACAAACAGAAAACTAGTTTCTGTACTAAACATTCATCTCTGTGGCATGGTAAGAACAATAATATGGAAATATATCATAACTGGATTGTTGTACTATTATTATCTACTCAGCCAACAATGGCAGCTTATATCTAAACATGTCTTTTCGTCCAATAAACAAATACAAATATTATGTTTTTGCAACATCTATGTAAAGAACTGACAAAAACAAACAAAACTTGGTGATACCTCTCATTTTCTATCTAAAATTCTGTTATCCCAACAGTAATTTGTAAGATTAATTGCAATGCCTTCAACACACAATTCTACCGGGACAGACCAACATTCCGCAAAATTTCCGCCATTAATACTGAAATTTGCTTTATTCTTCTATTGTTATTCAATTTTTTCATCCTGTTTCTATAATGACATAATTTTTCAATAGATTAGAAAGCTCTAATAACGGGTAACAATAATATAGTTCTCTGGAATGATTACAAATATACCTCAAAATGTTATCGGCTTATGTCCTTAGAATGACATTATAAACACAACTAACAACCTGAATGAATATTAGGCCTACATGTGTAATTACGTTTACATTCAAATTTTTGAATATCGGGCTGTAACTGAATTCTACAATAATGTCAATCGACGATAAAGAAGCGGAAGTTACTGGAAAACTGTTCACACATTATTCTTTACTCTGTCGAAAAATTACTAATTACAATTCAATAGAAAAGGCTTGAGCTATATTTACAAACGTTTACTTCCAAATACCCTTGTTTTATGAAACAAACAGAAATCGATCTCAAAAACTGGATTTACCGATGGTGTCAATGTCCTTCGGCATTTTAAGTATATTTGAATAAACTCTTTATTCAACAAATTGCTTTTGATGCATGGCTTTGTTGGTTAAAGCCATCTTCATAACATACGGTTCATAAAAAATTAAATATAATTACCATCAATATTTCCATTAATTCCACTAAACAGTGTTGGGATCCCTCTATACTTTAAAGAGAAGCTGAGTGATTTTACCCAATGTTTTTGGTCATTTTTTTAGTGTGTTACTTAATATGATACAGTATTGACCTTTACTTGTAATGAAAGATATAAAAACAAGTCGGTAACTGGAAGATTATACGGTCATATTTCAAACTGAATATTTCTTTTCATATTTACCTTTGGTACAATGGGAAGCACTTGCACGCATACATGTATAGTTATTGTTTAAATACATGTACAGATTTTTCAAAAACCTGAATAGTTTGAATAACGCATGTATTGAACGTAGTTTTATATATTATTTTACAGATGAACTCTGTTTTATATATCTAAACAGGAAGTGTTGGAACTGAAATGTGAGCAAAATTCTTTAGTTACATAATCATTTATTGCAATAATAATCCATACAAAACGCTAATATAATGGTTGATTTTTCGTCCACAACTTTCTATTTGCGCATGAGAACAGTGAATTTTAAACATATAATTTATGTATAAATTAAAGCTGGCGCAATCGGACTTTCATACCGTGTTACAAATCAAAAGTACTTTTTTATTATTGAGTCAGAAACAAGATGAAAAATACATCTGAGTGATCTTAACTATTCACTGGGCAGATTGCTAAAGTTTTAATTTCTTTACACAATGACACCAACATATCTATACACACTGACAATATCACATTTCTACAAACACTATAACAAACTGACATACTGACAATATTCCC